AGGTAATGTGTGAATATTATAAAAGAAATTATAGAATGAAAAGTTATGATACACTGCAAAAGATTTTGGGGTGTGTACAAACATGTCGCAGTAGTTTTGGGTAGTGAGACTACTTGTTGTGATATAACATTAATTTATGTGGATACAAGGAGATGAGTTGGAGATGATTTATTAGAATTTTAGTAATGGAGGGAGGAATGTGTATTACATTTTAAATTCAATAAAAAGAAAGGGGAAAATTTGTATCGAAAGAGGAAAAATTGTGAATAAATTGATAAATGATGAGGGGTTTTGGTATTGTTTGTCGAACTAAGATATCGAAAAAGATGTTATAAGTGGGGGTTGTGTGGGTGTTGTGGGTTTGTGGGTGTTGTTGTCGAACTAGAGATACCGAAAAAGATGTTATAAGTGGGTTGTGGTTTGTGGTGGGTTTTGGGTTGTGGGTATATGTGTTTCGATCTAGAGAACCAAAAAAGATGTTATAAGCGGTTGTTTTTGTGGGTGTTGTGGGTTGTAGTGTTTGTGGTTGTGAGTGTTGTGGTTGTGAGTGTTGTCGAACTAGAGATACCAAAAAAGATGCTTTAAGTGGGTGTTGTTGTGGGTGTTGTGGGGGTTGTGGGGTTGTGGGTGTTGTGGGTTGTGGGTGCTGTGGGGTTTTGGGTTGCGGGTGATGTCGAACTAGAGATGCTGAAAAGTGGTTATAAGTGTGGGTTGTTGTTGTGGGTGTTGTGGGGGGTGGGGGAAAGTGGGGTGTGGGTGTTGTGGGATGTGGGTTGTGGCGTGTTGTGGGTTGTAAGTTTTTGTGGTTGTGGGTGTTGTTGTCGAGCTAGAGATACCGAAAAGATGTATAAGTGAGTTGTTGTTGTGGGTGATGTGGGGTTTTTGGGGTGTTTTGGGTTGTGGGCGTTGGGTTGTGGGTATTGTTGTCGAACTAGATATAACAAAAAGATGTATAAGCGGGTTGTTGTTGTGGGTTTGTGGGTTGTGAGTGTTTGTGGGTGTTGTGGGTTGTGGGTGTTGTTGTCGAACTAGAGAAACCAAAAAAAAATGTTATAAGTGGGTTGTTGTTGTGGGTGTTGTGGGTCGTGGGGTGTTTGGGTTGTGGGTGTTGTGGGTTGTTGCGGTTTTGTGGGTTGTTGGTGTTTGGGTTGTGGGTGATGTCGAACTTGAGATGCTGAAAAGTGGGTTTTAATTGTGGGGTTTTTTGTGGGGTGTTGTGGGGTGTATGTAATGTGGGGTTTTGGGTGTTGTGGGATGTGGGTGATGTGGGTTGTGGCGGTTTTTGTCGAACTAGAGATACCGAAAAAGAGGTGATTCTGTTGTAAGTGTTCGTGTGTGTTTGGTTGTGTTCATGTATTTTTGCGCTCATGTTATATCTTAGTTTTGGGGGTGAGTGTACTCATAGAAATTGGTAATCGTCTTGGTTATAAAAGATTTGAGAGATTTGTGTGAAAATGGGTGTTAGTCTGTATGTTGATCTTAGTTTATGGGGATTTTGGTGTGTTTTGACCGTATTCAGTGGTGTTTTAGTAGTATTTAGTGGTTGTTTTGGGGGTACTCAAATGGTGTTTGAGACTATTCAAAGGGGTTTTTCAAAGGGTTTAAATGATGTGCAAGAGTATTTATGAAGGAGTTCTGGGAGTATTCAGTGGTGAAATTTTGGGGGGGCCCCGAATGATGTTTTTAAAAATTCAAAGGTAATTGATGGTGTTTTTGGTGTTGCTCAAAGTAAAGTTGTCTGAGTTAGTATTTTTATTTCTGTTGTAAAAATCCCGGAGAATGAGGGAGGAGGTTTTGGGGGTGAGTTGTAATTTAAATGAAATAGTAAGTGTAGATAAATTAATAGATGTAAAATCTATTTGGGAGTATTCAAAATGTTGTCTTGGAAATGTTTAGTGTTGTTTGGAAATGTTCAAAAAGGTGCTTTTGTGAGATTCAAATGATTTATGAGGGGTGTTTTAAGGTGTTCCAAGTAAAGTGAGGTGTGGGTGTGTGTGGTGTGTGTGTGTGTTGTGTGGTTGGTGTGTGTGTGTGTGTGTTTGTGTGTGTGGTGTGCGTATTAAAAACCCCGTAATATGTAAAATTGTGACTAGTGAATTTAATCGAAAAGTGGTTTATTAAGTTTTCAAGTGTTGTGTTGACTTTTTCTATGAAATGGTTAAAACGAAGAAAAATGTCTAACTGAGGAGAGTGAATCTTTTGTAAAGAAATGTGGATTGTTGTGGGTATTAACGAAAAAAAGTGGAATTATTTGGGTATCCTGGTTAAGAGTGAAAATGTTAATGTTTTCCCTATGTTTGTATATGAAATGTGTAATATTGAGATGGTGACGACGAAGAAGATCCAGAACAAAATGCACAGAATTTCTTTAAGAGAAAAAATATGTGATATTAGTCAATGAATTGTAACCTTTTTCTCAATGAATTTTTTGTTGGATGTATATGAAATGCATTGGGTTGTATAATAAAAAATAAATGGAAAATATTGTGTATTAGGTTACCCTGCATTTTATATCTTGCTCGACAAGATTCAGCCTGTGTGTGGTCATCACGTACGTCACTGACATAGGGGGAAGTCGACAACATTTAGCCTGTGTGTGTGAGGGCATCAAAGTGACTCACCCGACCCCCGTGCAAACACAGTCGGGTGACGTCACACTTGTTTAGACCTGCAGTAAGAGAAAGTAACCATGCCCCATAGGGGGATTTCATTTGAAGCTTACCCCCAGAGGGGGGAATCCAAGGGGATGGAGTCTTTGTATTATTGTTATTGAGAAAAATCTGATCCAAGGAAGTAGAGCAGGAATTTTGGGTAGAAGTGGATGGTGGGAGGTGTGGGGGAGGGTGTTTGATCCGAGGAATTGGAGCAGGAATTTGGGGTGGGGGTGAAAGTGGGAAGGAGAATCCAAAAACTTGATCCGAGGGAAATGGAGTCTTTTGAAATTTTTGATATCGAGAAAAACTTGATCCAGGGAATGGAGCAGGAATTTGGGATGGAAGTGGTGGTGGGAGGGTACCCATAGGGGGAAACCCCCAAAAAATTTTTATCCGAGGAGTTGGAGAGCACAAAAAATGAAATTCAAAAAAAATTCGAAAAAAATGGAAAAAAAATCGGGGGGTGGGGCGATCCGGACGACGCTGCAGAAGGCGCTCAGAAGGAGCAGGGTGGGGCACGAGGGGGGGCGTGGGCGGGGGGCGGGGCGGCTGCCAGTTGGGCAGGCATGCGGTGGTGGGCGCCCGGGCAAAGGGTGGGGGGGGTGGGTGGGCGGCGTGGTGGGGGGCGTGGGTGGGGGGTTGAGGGGGGGAGGTCATCGAGGGGGAGGTGTCGAGGGTGAGGTGATCGAGGGTGAGGTGGTCGAGGGCGAGGTGGTCGAGGGTGAGGTGGTCGAGGGTGAGGTCAAGGTCATTAGTATAAAGGTGTGAAAAGGAGTCCGCTCAGAGGAGACCGTACCGTGGAGACCGTACCGTGGGAGACCGCTCAGGAAAGGAGACCGCTCTGTAGAAATCATTACTACTACTATATATATGTATTTTGTCTGTACAAGATGCGCTCTCAATAAAATATAAAAAAAATAACTTAGATAATCCCAGCTACTTTATTGATATGCTCCCTTGCTAGCCGTGACGTCACGAAACCCAATCCTCAGTCATCGTCGCCCCACTCGGTAGGCAAAGACAAGACAGGCAGGTTCTTGGGTTACCCAACAAGACTCTCGTTAATTATATACCTCCAAGACATCCAACGTGTTTATTTCTTTCTCCTATATCTCGTCACGAATCCCCACGACACTTTCCATTCTCTAGTGTGAAGGGTTTTGGTATCTGCACCTTTGTGTGAACCAAGGTTTCGTTCTGGTTATCCCATTGTTTTTGTTGCTTTGGGGTTTGAACCTCTCCTTTGCCTCATTGCATTGTATGGTAACATATTCCATCATTTCATTTACGGCTTTTCCCACCGGTTCTTTTTCCTTCTGTACCTCATGCAGAAATTCCTAAATCTGTGTAATTCCCACTTTCATAGTTTAGCTTCTCCCATCCTGCTCATGCTGCTTTACTCTTCACTTTTGCCTCTTCAATGCATGTGAATCTGAAGGCCATGTGATCACTAGCTCCGAGGGGCCTTTCATATGTGATGTCTTAAAACTATGTATGGTTCCTGCCTCCACTACGTCACTTTCTAGGCTATTCCACTGCCTGACAACTCTATTACTGAAGAAATACTTCCTAACATCTCTTTGACTCATCTGAGTCTTCAACTTCCAATTGTTACCTCTTGTTTCTGTGTCCCCTCCCTGGAACATCCTGTATTTGTCCACCTTCTCTATTCCGTGCAGTATTTTATATGTCGTTATCATGTCTCCCCTGACCCTCCTGTCCACCAGTGTCGTCAGGCCGATTTCCCTTAACCTTTCTTCACAGGACATTCCCCTTAGCTCTGGAACTAACCTTCTCGCAAGCCTTTGCACTTTCTCTAATTTCTTGACGTGCTTGATCATGTGCGGGTTCCAAACAGGTGCTGCATACTTCAGTATGGGCCTGACGTACACGGTGTACAGTGTCTTGAACGATTCTTACTAAGGTATCGGAACGCTGTTCTCAGGTTTACCAGGCGCCCATATACTGCAGCAGTTATCTGGTTGATGTGTGCTTCCGGAGACATGCTCGGTGTTATACTCACCCCAAGATCTTTCTCCTTGAGCGAGGTTTGCAGTCTTTGGCCACCTAGCCTATACTTCGTCTGCGGTCTTCTGTGCCCTTCCCCGATCTTCATGACTTTGCATTTGGCGGGGCTAAATTCGAGAAGCCAGTTGCTAGACCAGGTTTCCAGTCTGTCTAGGTCTCTTTATAGTCCTGCCTGATCCTCATCTGATTTAATTTTCCTCATTAACTTTACATCATCTGCGAACAGGGACACTTCTGAGTCTAACCCTTCCATCATGTCGTTCATGTGTGTGTGTGTGTGTGTGTGTGTGTATGTGTGTAAACAGTTGATTAACTAACCGTATGATTCCTTTCCGCCAAGGCCTCGGCGATGCTCATGAAGAAGTTCTTGTGGCTTATGGTGCCAAAAGGTGCTAGGAAGAGAATGTTGGCGGAGTCCATCTCTTTCACGCTCACCAACACCAGCATCACTGCTAGCATCCAGCACCACCACCGCATCTGACAACACCACGAGCGTTATTTCCTGTACATTAGCTTCTTCATTAATTGTTATTGTAGAGTCGTTGACAAAATATACTGGCATTATTAAAGAGGCACCAGAACATACATTTTTGGGAATCGCAATAAAACACCTACAATTGTCCTCTCAGCGGTTTTACACAGTTTTTTTGTAACTGTGACCCCAATATATTACTGTATTAATAAAGCCATATGATATTACACAGGTAACCATGATGCAATATACTACTAGTATAACAAGGCTATATGAAAACACAGCAAACAAAACTGGCAAGTGTGTGAGAGTAAGTGCTGCAGGAGTCCTTGTTGATTATAAGAAGATTGTAAAGTAACTTATAATTCATGAACAATTTTGAGGAAATTTGGAGGAAGAGATGGAAGGGCACAGACATCGAGGGTGAACGTTGAAGAAAGTGAAAACAATGGTGAAGAGAGAGTAGCAGAGAAGGCAGAGGGGAGGGAGAAGAGAAGAAAGAAAGAAGGGAAGAACTATGTCATAAAATTGAAGAACGTAACTGTAACAGTTGGGTTATCAGTGTCTAACAGCGAATATATTTATTCACGCTGAAATAACTGAAATTAAATTAAAGGTGTAAATGTTAGATACAATCGAAATTAGATTAGAAACTATAACTGAAGAAGTATGAATAAGAGGACAAAACTATAGAGACTATATGTTGGATAGCTTGTTCCGAATATAATATAATTATTGTACAAGAAAATGAGTTTCGAGAATAGAAAAAAAAATCATTTTGATGAATAAGGCTGAAAAGTAATAAAAATAAATTTAGCGCTTCTTTTGTATTATAATAATAAAAATAAAAATAAATATCATCTGCAACTTAGATCAATTTATCAAAAGAGAATAATTATAAGTGAGTTTAAATAGTCAAATTACTGATGAATAATTTCTCACATGCAAGAGGAAAAATATTCTTGAATTAAAGGGGAAATTGTATTATTTATGAAAATATCATCAGATAAAACAAAAATTACAGTAACTAAAGAAATGCATCATAAAATTAAATTATCTCTGAGAAAAGTTGCAGTAGATATACAAAAGATGGAAATTTAAATTGCAGTTTTTTTATTAACACATCGGCCGTTTCCCAGGATGGCAGGGCGCCTCCCCTCCCCAACGAAAAAATAACTGTTGCAACCCCTGAATGGGTTACAATGATTATTATGTATATATAATGTATATTACCTTTTCATTTAATTTTATATTGCTTATATTTGCGATAATAGCTAAATCGTAAATGTATGACTTTATATTATTATTTGACTGTTATATTGTTATTTGACTTATGTTGTTAGGATGTACATAATATGTGCTCAGTTCAAGTCTTGATTGTCAAACTACTGTAATTATCGCTTGTCGCTCGTTATACTGCCGGCTTCTGAGCTGTGCTGTCCACGGGGCTATCACGTGATCGAGGGGGGGGGTCCTCACCTCTCGTGAAGTAGTCAGTCTGCTCTAGACTCGCTTGGTGGATGGACAGATTGTCTGTCTCATTATTCTTGTTAGTTCTGTAGAACTCTGTTCACAGAACTTTGTATAGACTTAGTGATTTTCGACGTTGTACTGAGGTTGTGTGTCTCATAGACACTCTGAGTATCTCAGGTCCTGCGCTGCAACTTCTCATTTAACTTGTACTGGTTTCTGTGTATTATCAGAGTCGGGGAATTTCTTATGCTGAACTTAGATTCAGTAGTATGGGAGTTTTGTAACTGTTGTGGAGGATCTGCTGATGGTCCCTACTTAGTGTCATTATATTACCTGCTTGTCCCTGATTCTGTGTCGCAGTCGCTTATTGCATTGCTATTGGGCTTAGCATTCTTTGTTGTTCAAGCAGACTGTTCGGGTTGCCAGTCGGTCAAGAAGTTTGTTTATTTGAGGACTTTGTCAGTGACTTGTTTAAGTCTAGTCGAGTCGTGAGACATAACGAACTACTTAGAGCACTTACACACATACACACTTACTTGTACATATTTGTAATATCTTATTAAATGTTAATGTACCAGACGGTACTTAAGAATTATAAATGTGATATGTGCTTTCAGCACAATAATATTGAACTCGAGAGATTGATTTTATTTTGATTGCTGTGATTAATTTAATTTGATAATATACCTCTAGACTTAATAAATTTATTAAATTTTAATTTCTCTAGTTAGTAGCCTACCAGTTGTAATCCTGAAGCACTATTGAATCATACTGAATTATAATGGATAATTGGAAAAGGATACTGACTACTTGTTACGAAAACCCAGTAACAGGCTGGATGCTAGAAGGGCAGTCCTTTCTAGTATTCACTGGAGATCTCTAAGCTTTTAGAATCGCGTTTTTTGTAACAATAACTTTAATCAATCACTCCATCACTGTCTTGCCAGAGGCGCACTTACACTACAGTTATAAAACTGCAACATTAACACCCCTCCTTCAGAGTGCAGGCACTGTACTTCCCATCTCCAGGACTCAAGTCCGGCCTGCCGGTTTCCCTGAATCCCTTCATAAATGATACCTTGCTCACACTCCAACAGCTCGTCAAGCCCTGAAAACCATTTGTCTCCATTTGTTCCTATCTAACACACTTACGTATGCTTGCAGGAAGTCCAAGCCCCTCGAACACAAAACTTTCTTTACCCCCTCCCTACAACCTTTCCTAGGCCGACCTCTACCTCGCCTTCCCTCCACTACAGATTTATACACTCTCAAAGTCATTATATTTCCTTCCACCCTCTCTACATGTCCGAACCACCTCAATAACCCCTGCTCAGCCCTCTGGATAATAGTTTGTAAATTAGGAGATGCGGTATTACCGTAACTATTATCCAGATGATTGTGGTGGTTCAGACATGTAGATAGGGTAGAACAAAACAGAATGACTTGGAGAGTGTATAAATCTGTAGTGGAGGGAAGGCGGGGTAGGGGTCGGTCTAGGAAAGGTTGGAGGGGAGGGGGTAAAGGAGGTTTTGTGTGCGAGGGTCTTGGACTTCCAGCAAGCGTGTATGAGTTTGTTAGATATGAGGGAAAGGAAACAAGTGGTTTTTAGGACTTGACGTGCTGTTGGAATGTGAGCAAGGTAACATTTATGAAGGGATTCAGGGAAACTGGTAGGCCGGACTTGAGTCCTGGTAAAGAAGTACAGTGTCTGGACTCTGAAGGAAGGGTATTAATGTTGCAGTTTTAAACTGTAGTGAAAGCACGCCTCTGGCAAGACAGTGATTGTAATAATTGTACAGTGATGGGGTGAATGATGAAAGTTTTTCTTTTCGGGCCACCCTGCCTTGGTGGGAAACGGCCGATGTATTAATAATAATAATAAAATAATAATAATAATAATAAAAATAATAATAATAATTATTTCATAAAATATAGGGAGGTACCACCTCTATGGCTGGACTGGGGACCCTCATCCTCAGAGAAGACAATAAACGTACCTCAGGGAAAACTCAAGGTTCTCCCCGAAGCTGTTTGAATATTTTCTTCTACCACCACCTATATTTGATATTATTTTTGAACATTTATTAATTACAAAATTAATTACAGAAAAACATAAACATGAATACAATGGTACAATGTAATAAAGATCATGAATTTCCTCCAGCTCCTCCGAGGCCAGACGCGAGCTAAGTATGCAGCAAGCATTTCCCCTTTGGATGGCCATGCTGAGGCGCTGGAACATGAAAGTGGTGGTGTCGATGAGTCTGGAACCCAATTCTTTAAGGAAACGTATGGCATTTTTTCTCCATGATCCCAAGGTCTCTGATCCCAATGGGACAAATTAATACTGTTGGCCTATGTCCCTGTACTTGCTGATCTTGTACTCCTCCCGGTGGTCAGCAGCTCCTTCCTGTCGCCCCACTCTGTGATGGATATAGGTGTCAGCCAGTGTGGACACACAGGTATAGTCCCATGCTAAGAGCTTGCCATTATTCCAAGGATATATGGTGATCCCGTCGGGGCGGTTTGCTGGGTTGTGGGTATTGTTGGCTGCTAGTGATCGGGGCTCCCTCTCGGATGGGCATCCAGCTGTAGCAAGGGTTCTCTTAATGATGTCGTTGATCTCATTGTCTTGCATGCCAGCCCTTGGTTTTGGAACAAAGATCATGTAGACCATATTGGTCTGCTTGCGCTTCACTGAAAATGCACGCATATTATGTGTGAATTGGGGCAGCAAGGCGCAGAGCCACTGCAATACGGAGGGCCTTAGGGTCGGGGTCACGTTCCCACTGCCGATATGGGAACTGTTTGGAGGAAGTCCCCAGAGTGATGTGTGCTCACAGCCTGGAGATGGCCAGTCTCCCTTTCTGATGTTGCAGCCATGAGCATGTTGGCAAGCACCTTTTCAGCGATTGGGCCATCCCAGCTTGACTGTTTGTGAGCCAGTGATGCACTAGAGTTTGGTGCTGGAGCAGCAAGAGTCTCCCATTCAGTGATGGCACTGGCATAGCTAGGGTCTTCTATTCCTGCTGAGTCACTGAGGGTATCAGGAAGAATTTGTCTTATGAACTTGTTTGATGCTATGGAAGAGGATAGGAAAGCTGGTAGAACAATCTGGGAGGATCTGCGTACTCCTAGCCCTCCAAGCCTGACCGGAAGTGAGGCTTGCAACCACTGTCCATCTTCAAGGGAAAGATTCAATACACTCTCTAGCATGGTTTTAAGGAGAGTCATATTCCTTGAGTTTTGGACTGCTGAAGGCTGGGGGGCTTCTCAGAAAGTAGGTAAGTTTTGGGATTGACAAGCACCTGGTGAGTAGGTAGAAGGCACCGTGTGTACCAATGTTTTTCATTCTGCTTTCCATCGTCTGGAGGTCTGAGACTTTTTTTCTAGGATCAGATAGATGGAATTGGACCCAAGAAGAGCACCAAGGAGAGTGCTATTGGCTGGATCAATGGCTCATGCTCCTGGTAAAATGGCGCTAATATTCTGAATCATCTGTCGATTGGTAGAAACTATTTCACATTTGGTT